AGAAAGTTAATACTATATATGCCGAAACAATGCTGAAACTCTAATAAAGTATTAGTATCAGTTATGCCGAAACTATGCCAAAATGCCAAAACAGTTTTGGCAGTTTTGGCAGTTTTGACAGTTTCAGCGTTTCGGTGTTTCGGCGTTTCGGCAGTTTCGACACTATGTAAGGAGTTTCAACTTTCGGCATTGGGCCAAATGAGTTTCAGCAGGCAACCTTAGTATTAACAAAAATTTTTGCAAATTTTTTAATAATTGTGATTTTACATCAGTGAGTTTTTGGGTAGTACATATTCTGTCTCTTATACACATCTAGATGTGTATAAGAGACAGATCAAGGGGACCAAAGCTTCGAAATGAAATATCTGATATGCTACTTATGCTGTTTGCACGTGATGATTTATAAAAAAAATTGTTCAAATTAGAAGAACCTTGGGAAGGTGTTGATGTGCTTGATAGCGGTGTTAATACTTCAGTTTTACCCTCATCAAAGTCATTATCTATTGATAATCGTTGTCATTTAATTGGTTTTTTCGAACCATACTCCATAGCTTTCTGAATTATAGCTTGAGTCTCTTCTGAAGAGTGTCTTTCAGCTCAATAAGGACAATTTTCAAGATGCTTTGCACATGCATGTTTTGTATTTGTAAACCTCTGTTTCATCGCTTCCTCTCGACCCAAACCCCTAACACATTCTTGACAAACTGCATAATTATTATATTTATTGGACTTTTCTTCTAACATTAAAAAATATCCACTAAGTTTATATTTTTCGCGCGTCATTTTTAATATCGCAATTAAAAAAAAAGATTATCGGAAATTCAGGTTTAACGATTTATCAATTATCATTATGTATTACGAAAATTTGATTGGACGATGAATTGGACCAAGTCCAATTGTACGTCCAATTGCCTAATTGGACTAATTGGTCATAGTCCAAATCCAACAGATGTGTATTAGACCAATTGGACAATTGGACGCAATTGGTCTATATCCAATTGTTCAAATCGTCCAATTAAATCAATTGAAATGAGTCCAATGCCAACACTGGAGTTTTTAGTTTAAACTCTTTTTACTTAGATTTTTGAACTGGAACCTTGGAACTGGGCGGGTACTATATGTGGTAGTGGGAGATAAAGAGATGGTGAAGAAAGTGCTTCGGAATGTTTTACTAATATTCATTATTTTTTTATCGTAGATTCCGTCNAAACAATGCTGAAACTCTAATAAAGTATTAGTATCAGTTATGCCGAAACTATGCCAAAATGCCAAAACAGTTTTGGCAGTTTTGGCAGTTTTGACAGTTTCAGCGTTTCGGTGTTTCGGCGTTTCGGCAGTTTCGACACTATGTAAGGAGTTTCAACTTTCGGCATTGGGCCAAATGAGTTTCAGCAGGCAACCTTAGTATTAACAAAAATTTTTGCAAATTTTTTAATAATTGTGATTTTACATCAGTGAGTTTTTGGGTAGTACATATTAGCGGATACTAGTATTGTTTGATGCTTTAAAGTGTAGAAAAACTTACCTTATCACACATCAAATAAATAAAAATTGGCAAAAAAATCAAATAGTCAATTTTTGGTTATATTTATCTGATTTGTAGCTTTTTGTAACTGATTTTTTAGCATGAATTGACAAAAATTAGATATGCCAATTTTTAAATTGCATATTCAAATCGGACTGCTGATTTTAGCTATATTTGTCTGATTTGTGACTTTTTACAGCCGTATTACCAATTCTTAACCACATTTTTCAGCTTTTTCACTATACAAAAAAATTGTATATAGTATATACATTATGAAATATATATTTTTATAAAAAATTATATTGTAATATTGTTAAATTTTAAAAAATATTTTATTAAGCAATATTAAATAAAAAACTAATCTTAAATAATTAAATTTTAAACAAAATACATTTAAGAATATAAATTTACTTGTAATTCAATGTAATACACACAAT